GTGGGAAAAGCGGAGGAGATCAGCAATTAGCTGAGGGGGGGTAAGCGTCTCTAAAGAGATGGGTTTTCAGGGTGCACCTAAAGGTGAGGTGGGTAAATTAAACACTGGTACTCCCCTCGACCCCTTTAAAAAGTACCTCCCTGACCACACGAGAATGGAAATATTTACACTTTTATTTCCTTGTTTTGTAAGTGGTACAATACATTTTTTTATGGGCGAATATTACACTATGGCCTTTTTATATCTTTTGCATGGGCAATCTGGAGAAATATCAGAGTGGATGCTGAGGACATTTAAAAAAAAAAAAAAAAATGATGAGAGGAGCGATATACAAGTATACATATCTGGGGATCCTTCTTTCAACTGCACCGGTGAGCAATGGAAGAAGGAGTTATCTAAATAGATCGATCTAAGAACGCATGGATTTGGAAGTTTGGTAAGGTGCACCCTTGCTGGGCGATTGCACTTGGTGGGATTTTCACTGGGTAAATGGGATACGCACATCAGTTCTAGTTTAAGGGCCAGTTCACACTGCATGTGTTTTTTCTGCATCCAAAATGCTTAGACAGTAGGTTATATGGTTGTCAATGTCATAGTTCAAATCAGTGCTTGCAGTTCCAGTGCGTTCCAGTTGCAGAAAAAAAGAAGAACATGCTGCATTTTTACTGCACAGAACTGTACTGGAACGCATTAAAACGCATAAAAAATGCACAGGAACGCACCAAAAACCCACTGTCCCTATTTAAACTGAAGAAAAGGAGAGCGGAAAAAATGAACTAGAATGCAACAAAAAAGTTCCAGAACGTGACAAAAACACATCAAAAAGCACTGGAACGTGCCAAAAACGCATCAAAAACACGCATGCAGAAAACGCATCCGGAACACATCTGGACTGCGTTTCTATATTGTGAACCGACCCTAAATGTGAGTGGTCTGTATTAAGAAAGTATGCAAAATGGTATTGCACTTTATTAGTGTTTTTAGTTTTTGGGAATAATCCAACATCTGTTTTGGAATCTTTGGGAAGATCTTGCCTTACATTGATACACATCAAGGGAAGTATAAGGTGGAGATTTGTCAGTTGTTCACTGAAGGTTGGAGAGTAAGGGTATATACAAAATGGGTAAATGACAAAACGCTGGTTTATTTTCCAAAAGTAAGCACACATATCATTTAGAGAAACTGTAAGTGGCCCATACTACACTATATTATATTTTTTATTTTATTTTTTTAGAGATCATTGGATGGGAAGATTAGCCTGCAGAATAGGGACTTCACAAGGAGGATAAAGATTGAAAGAGCAGGAAGCACCCGAGTTGTGTACTGTACTTGATCCTCAGACATATGGAAAGAACATTTAACAGACTGCTTTTGTAACAATATTTTTTCATGAGCGCTGGTTGACACTATAGCACATTAACCACTTCAAGTCCGGACACTTTCACCCCCTTCCTGTCCAGGCCAATTTTCAGCTTTTAGTGCTATCACACTTTGAATGACAATTGCGCGGTCATGCAACACTGTACCCATATGAATTTTTGTAGCATTTTTTTGAGACAGATGAAACTTTTTTTGGTGGTAATTATTCACCACTGGGATTTTTATTTTTTTGCTATATAAATGAAAAAGTCCAAACATTTTGAAAACAAAAGAGTTTTCGTTATAAAATTTGGCAAATAAATAATCGTTCTTCATAAATATTGGCCACAATTTATTCAGCTATCTTTTTAGTAAAAAAAACCCAAATTAATCTATAACCAAAAAACATAATTTTTAAAAAAAAAAAATTAACTTTTTTATATTATTTATTTATTCTTTAACATACTGTCACCCTAGCAGTACAGTGACACCATAGTGACACTGTACTATTTGTGGGGAATGATGAAAAATTTTTTTTTTTTTTTTTTACACCGATTGCTTTTACACCCATAAAGGCTGTAAAAGCAATCATTTCTCCTCTCCGGCTGCATTCTTGCATCCATTCAGAAATACTGTGCAAGCTGTGATTGGTCACAGCTTGTCACATGGTACAAGGCTGTTGTGAATAGCCTTGTACCATGTGACCTTTGTGATCATTCACAGATTTCGCTAGTAGTAAGCAATGATGTCAGGAAGTGACATCTTGCTTACTACTATTCATGTGATCACTGATTGGCCAATCAGTGATCACATGATCGGGACCTCACACAGAGGTCCCCTACAGCGATCGGTGTTCTCCGGACACAGATGGCACTGGATCGCGGTGCCGTGTGCTCCCAGGAAGCTCGCACAGGCAGGGAAAGCAGTATATATAGGCGATTTGCATTTCTGGATACGGGGCCGCCCTACCTGCGCCGCTATTGGCAGATAGAGATGTCAATCACCGGGTCGTGGCTGGCGATTCCCGGCCGAAACTTGTCGGGAAAAGCTGACAGGGAGAGACCTGTGTGTAAACAACACAGGTCTCTCTCCTGTCAGCATGGACATGCTGTTTTGTGTCTCTCTGCACAGTAAAGAGATACAAAGCAGCATGTCTCCCTAGTAAAACATAGCAAATTATGTAAAACACACACATTTAACCCTTTGATCGCCCCAGATGTTAACCCTTTCCCGCCCAGTGCCATTAGTACAGTGTTGGTCCTTTTTTATTAGCATCCTCCTAGATAGTAAGCTCTAACGAGCAGAGTCTTCTGCTTCCTCTTGCACAAGATTGTATTGTAACTGTAATGTCTGCCTTCATTTTGTAAAGCGCTCCACAAACTGTTGGCACTATATAAATCCTGTATAATGATAATAATAATTAGCACTGTATTAATGTCACTGGGGATGTCGTTGGCAGTCAGTTCCCACCCAGTGTCAGAATGCCCGTCGCAGTCCTGCTATAAGTCACTGATCGCCACCATTACTAGTTAAAAAAAAAAAAAATTCCAGTATATATATACCACCATTGGTAGACGCTACAACTTTCACGTAAACTAATGTACACGTATTGGAATTTTTTTTTTAGCAAAGACATGTAGCAGAATACATTCTGGCCTAAATTTATGAAGAAATTAGAATTTTTAAATTTTTTTTATTGGATAAGTTTTATACTAAAAATTAAAAAATATTGTTTTATTTTTTTCAAAATTGTCAGCCTTTTTTTGTTTATAGCACAAAAAATAGAGGTGACTAAATACCACCAAAAGAAAGCTCTATTTGCGGGGAAAAGAATGACAAATTTAATTTACGTACAGCATTGTATGATCGCGCAATTGTCAGTTAAAGTAATGCAGCACCATATCGCAAAAAATGGCCTGGTCAGGAAGGGGGGTAAATCCTCTGGAGGGCAAGTGGTTATAAGGAGAGATCTGAAATATCTCTGCCAGTGTTTCCTTCATGACCAGCTTACTTTAATTCTCTCCACTTCGCTGCCCATGTAGAAATTTACTTTTTATCATTTACCGTATTTTTTTCGCTCCATAAGACGCACTTTTTTCCCCCAAAAAAAGGGGGGGAAATGTCAGTGCGTCTTATGGAGCGAATATAAAGCGACCGGTCCGGTATTTCTGCCGCCACCATGTCAGAATAGCGGGCAGGCCGCTCAGCTCTTCTCTCCTGCAGGACCTTACCTGTTCCTCGCTCCATCGCTGTACAGTCTACAGTCTTCCCGCGCTGGCTTCTGTGACAGCCGGGTACCCACTGCGCATGTGCGAGAAGCGCCGCGCTTTGTGAATGGTCCAGTGTCTTCTGGGACACATGACAGGTCCCAGAAGGCGCTGGGCCATTCACAAAGTGCAGCGCTCGTCGCGCTTGCGCAGTGGTCACCTGGCTGTCACAGAAGCCGGCGCGGGAAGAAGAGGGAAGGACAACTCCGCAGAAGTGGAAGCGGGTACCTGTCAAATTCAGGTACCCGCTCCCCCTCCCTCCCCAAAGGTCTGCAGTCTCTGGTCATCCCCTGCACTGTCTGCAGTCTCTGGTCATCTGTACTATGTCCCTGGTATTTTCCCTGTACTATGTCCACTGTCTCTGGTCATTCCCTGTACTGTGTCCGCAGTCTCTGGTCATCTCCTGTACTGTGTCCGCAGTCTCTGGTCATCTCCTGTACTGTGTCCGCAGTCTCTGGTCATCTCCTGTACTGTGTCCGCAGTCTCTGGTCATCCGTACTGTGTCCGCAGTCTCTGGTCATCTCCTGTACTGTGTCCGCAGTCTCTGGTCATCTCCTGTACTGTGTCCGCAGTCTCTGGTCATCTCCTGTACTGTGTCCGCAGTCTCTGGTCATCTCCTGTACTGTGTCCGCAGTCTCTGGTCATCTCCTGTACTGTGTCTGCAGTCTCTGGTCATCTCCTGTACTGTGTCTGCAGTCCATTGGTTCAGAATATTTTTTTTCTTGTTTTCCGCCTCTAAAACCTAGGTGCGTCTAATGGTCAGGTGCGTCTTATGGAGCGCGAAATACGGTAACTACTAAAGTGGTATGAAAAGAAAACATTTATTATATTGCAGCTTACCAATCATTAGATGTGATGGCTGCATTTGTCTTCTTTTTTAAGGTTTCTTTCTTTGATTTTCACCTAGTGATGCGATCAGTAAGTCTGTTGTATTTTTAACAAAACAAGCTTTCCTGCACACGTATCAGTTAAGAGTGTTGAGACCACTTGCCACTGGCAGGGGTGCTTCCAATGAATAGCTATTATTTATTAATGTAATATCTTTATCCCAAAAGAGAAAAAAACTGTTGCAGTAATTGCTTGTATAACTGCAGTTTGAGCTGGAGTTTGGCTTCAATTTGTTAGTGTATTTAAATCTGCTAGTCCATCTAACAATCCCCTCCCCACAGACTGACAATGCTGCTATTCAATGGTGCCCCCTGTGCGCTTTCATCCAGAGTGGGGGTACTCTAATACAGGAGTTGTGGTACTAACCAGATCATCAGGTGAAAACAGAGGGGAAAAAAGCCCTAATATGCCACACCACAAAAGACTGGTAAGCTTTAATACCGTTTTAAGGTCAACATTTTAATAAGTGGTTATTCTTTAACCTACTTCTAGTAGATGAAAAATCTTCTCTTCTTGTTATTGCTGAAAACTGGAACAGAGACACAGGGCTGATCAGATCTAGAGCCTCTCGGCACCCCATTATCACAGAGGAGACCTATAGACAATGATAATAATTGATTAGAACACACAACCAGATAGAGGATTGGGTACATATCAGGTCAGCCCTGAATTTCAAGAGAAATCTAGTATAGCTTGAATGACAACTACTTTGGCCCAGAAAGCAGTTTGTTATGGTGGCCCAACAATAACATGATGAAGTAACATGTCAGCACACACTTGTGCAATGCTGACAGTTTTAGGTTACATTCACATTTGCAAATGTACCAGACTGTGATTAGATGCGAGAACCCCAGCAGGATCCAGGACCAATCACTCACAGTTGATCGCTACATGAATGATCATATGTGAACAGCTGCAGTAATCTTTGTGGCTGCCTCCTGCAGCTAATTGCCAGGAACCCCTGCTGGGTTCTCACATCTAAGCAGAGTTGGGTGCATTTGTAAATGTGAATGTACCCCAATGACAGGTGATCTATAGGTCTGTGAAGAAATCCAACTTTATGGAATCAAAGTTAAAGAGTATGTACACGTGAAATCTATGTTTTGCACATCTTGCATCATTCTTTATTATATACTGCTTTCTTAAGCAAATCATTTTCTGTGACTTTTGCTGAAATGCTTCCTGCCAATAACAACATTCTGCTTCAAGCCAAAACTACTAGCAGCTTCCTTACAAGTAGGAGTAGTGTTGTCAGCCTTGTTCGTTGAGCTGCCCTCATGTAAGTGCAAGGCATACACAAAAATTGGCGCAGCGTCTAAAAAATTAATATATAACAATGCACTATTCAAGATTTTATTGATATGAAAATATAAAAACATTAAATATAAGTGATAACACAGGAGTGAATGAAGCGCTACAATGAGCGCAATTAAACAAGTGCGGCTGTGAAAGTCATAAAACAAAGAAAGTGTTCATATGATGGTGAGAGTCTGACAAACACCGGTCAGAAAATTGTGCCGCATACAGATCCTGTTTTAGAGGTGGTAACAAAATATTCCATGTGACTGTAATCCGTTCAGGGAATTGATAAAAATGCGCACTCACCAGATTCGCATAGTAAAAGCGCAATGTGTTGAATCATATAATGACCAAAGATCTGCAGGAAGCCCCCTTTAAGTGGACCATACAGACAGCATAGGAAGAGACTCCCTCCTCTGGATCTGAGACGGCTCTGCAACTGCTCTCCAGCTGGAGCCTTGGAAATCGTTTAGCTGTAGACAGCACCGGATCACAGCGGCAATACAAAAGTGCAAGGCATACACTGGCATAAGGAGCCCAGGAGTCAACTAAAGTAGTACGCATGGCATGTTGGCAAAGCTACTGCTAATTGCAAAACTGAGAGTTTGCATTGTCAGCTTGTGCTGTTACCAGCAGCATCTACAGGTATGAACTTTTGCTACAGATTCACTGAAAATATTTGTTTAAACCTCCTTAGCGGTTTTCCCGGGTGTAGCTCGGGGTAAAATTTGAGTACCAAGAGCGGTAAAACCGAGCTACACTCGGCTTACCATGCGGCGTTGCTCCGGGGGTCCCTGCAGCACTTACCTTGTCCTTCGCTCCCGCGATGTGTCCCCTGCAGCGTCTCCGGCCATCTCCTCCGGCCGATGCTGGCATCCGGCTTCCGTGTTCCGGTCCCTGTGACATCGGGTCGTACGGGCGCCGGAACCAGTGGCAAATTTGAAATTTTTTAAAAATTTCATTTTTGCTGTCATTGCTGTTTCAATGCATTTCACATATATTTTGTCCCTACTGCTTTGTCCTGTCCCCTGCCTGCATTTTGACTGTTCTTTCTGCCTGAAAACTTAGAAAAGTCCACGGCATCCAAAAAGCGTCCCTTTAGGTCAAAAGCGGTTTTAGACCAGCTAGAGAACAGCGATAGTAAATCAGAACCACTTGCAGAATTGAGTGATAATGATTCGTGGGGAAATTCATCATCAGACACTGAAAACGATTTTGCGACTTTGCTCAGCGATGTGCAAATTTGCCTCTGTATTTCAAATTTCAGTGTTTTTGGTTTGATTATATTATTGAATTACATTTATTATTATATTATTATTTTTTATGATTTTTAATTAAATTATAATTTATGATTTTGTGTTTTTCAAGTTTTATCATATCCGGAATGATTACTAGACTCTTGTTCAAACAGATTTCAGTGAGTTATTCCTAAAAATTACAGCCTACAAAAAAAACTACATATTTCCATGCAAAAAAATGGTACCGCTTTTCAGCACAAAAAATCGGAAAGAATCATACCGCCAAGGAGGTTAAGAAAACTGTGTACAGCAGGACACGATGCTACACATACTGAAAAACAGATTTTTGGTTTCCATATACTTTAAAAATCCTGCACCAGTTTAAAAACAAAGAAAATGACTGCAGGTATAAAGTGCAAGCACCTAGACAACACATACCAGCAGCATCCTCCAAAAGCCTACAGTTATGGTCAAATGCTGGGCCGCTGTGGCAAAGCACTGACACTTATGCCTAGTGTTGGTGTTGGAGTCTATCACTTCCTCCCATTGCACATATTACTGATCATTAGGATGGGCAGCCGATGGCTAAAATGAGGGCACAGGCAGCAGGAAATGTCAGCATTAGCAGGAAATATCTGAGTTTTGTTTGTCAGAATATTATGGTGGCTGATGCAGGTATTGGCAGCACCTCTATGTGAAATATAATAATAAATAGTAACAGTAATCTGTAACAAAAATATCAACAGCAAATTACAGATATTGTGAGGTCTCTAGGTTAGCCATATTAAGGATATGCATTGAAGAATTAGAGACACGTTTGTAGATGATGAAAGCCAGGGAATGCTGATAGGGATAGAAGGTGTCAGGTCTTTTAGCACATACACACCCTGCATTGGTGCCATGGCTGACATTCCTGCATATGAGCGACACTTCTAAAGTGAGTGATAAATTAGGAGCAGGGGGCATTCATCCCTGCCTGACAAAATGCTACAGATCCAACACCCACATTCCCGCTGCATGACCTTCCCTCTGCACAGCAAGAAGCCTCTAATGTGACGGAATGTGAAAGGAGAAAACTGTACAGTCACAGATATTCTTTACCAGCTAAACGACACATTTCGGGACTCTGATCACATCAGATTGTGCAGAGCATACACGAACAGCAATGAAATCTACTTTACTGGTCTCATCGTTTGGTTGCCTCAGGATACAGTATCTACACAACTTCACAATGTCCCTGTTGCAGAGACAGAATTTTTGACACCTAAGAGGACCAGTATCTAAGAAAAAAAACAAAATCCTCTTCTATGTGGGACCCCCCTGTTCATTTATGTACTTTCCCTACTCCTGCCTGCCTCTTTAATCCTTGAAAAAGAATTTCCTAAGCAGGGTCCTAAGACCCTGCTCAGACCTGACAAATGGCTGTCAGGAAGAACAATGAGCACAGCATTGTGGGAGTAAGGGCTCATGTACACGGGACATTTGGAAAAGTCTTCTGAACGATGGAAACGGACTGCTGAAAAACGTAGGTTAAAAAACGTTAGTTTAGCTGCATTTGCATACCGCATTTATGCGCAGAAGCATTTTTAAAAGATATCCTCAGGAGACCTTCCCAAATGCCCAGAATGCACTGAAAAACAGTAAATAATTAACTATTTCAGACATTTTGAGAGAAATAGAGAGAGCAGAAGCAGAGAGAGCAGTATGTGTTGAGATGACCTGCCTGGTTGTATTCACTATGGATCCCATCATGAGCATAATGCGGCACGTTCTACCATTTTTTCCTTCGAAACCTGGAACTGACTGCACTGGTGTACCGGGTCCATTTGAATACATGGAAAATGCTTTGCATGCATTTCTGATTATGAAAAAAGGCTGTGGACAGCATCTGGACATGGAACAGTTAAAAAAAAACACTTCTAAACGCAAACGCTTATAAACGCAGTTAACCGCGTTTACAAGTGTTTGCCGTTTGAAACGCCAGTAAAATCTACTCCTGAACGTACGTTTGGTACATTCAGAAAAACGACTGCAAACTCAACTGCCTGTAAACGACGATGAGTACATGGACACATAGGAAAACATTAGGGAGAGTTCAGGGGCTGCTGAAAAAAAAAACACTGCTTAACAGCTCCTGAACGCCAGTTTATCAGCAGCAGTGTACAGGAGCCTAATCAACAAAAGATAGTGACTGCAATTTTTTTTTTCTTTACAAGGAGTATTGAGTATTACAAATAGGATGAATGGCTCCCAGTGAATCCTTAATAATGTGCCACAGAGAGAACTGGCTCACATCCTTCAGGGTTCATTTATATCTATGGCATGCATTAATGTACATTGAGTTAAAGCAGCCCATTCATTTGAATGTTTTTAGCAATGGAGTGCACCACAATGCACATTAGTGCGTTACCGTGTATTGCGATGCAGTGCAATATAGGTGCGTTGGTAGGTTGCGTTGGAGTGCCATTCAGAAAGAATGGCAACGCAGTGCACCAACATGCATTAATGCAACAGTGTGAATCCGGCATTGGGGATTTCTTCAAATCTTTTGTATAGTAGTACTGCTTGTACTCAACAACCAATGTTTTATCATATATCACATACAGCTCCAGCCAAAACATTTATTTTATTTTGGATAGAGTGGGAAGGGGTGGAACTTGTGTCAGGTTTTTATAACTGTATGTATACTTGTTGGGAAGATTTCACATCCATGTCAGGAAATAGGAAGTGAGAGATAATCTCTTCAAATGTCTGTGTATGTACAGTATGTGTCTGCAGCAGAGATTTCCTTCTCTTCCTGTTCAAGTGAGAAGAATCACTGAAACAGGAAGTGACAGTATATTTACCCAGTGGGGACCCAGACAGCAATAAATTCCTACCTAACCTTGGTGTATTTCCACTTTTACTCTTCAATTGGGACAACACCTAGATTTCTTACATGTTCCTATTCACAAAGCAGAACATTAAACAATATTTTAAAACTGCCGCTCACCTTTTTAATTGCTTTTTTGTTCTAACAAAGTCTACATTAGCATTTCCTTACTAATGGGTGATGTGCTCAGTGAACAGCATTTTGCTGTTTTCCAGGGGCCATTTTATGTTTTGTCATAAGAATTGAAATCCAGTTGCTATACTGAAGAACTGATAAAAACCATGTCATCGAATAATGGTTGTAGAATGTGGTCACTGCAGAGATTCAGAGATCTGGCCACCAGCATCCCATTATGATAGCAGAAACAAGAGAGAAAGTCAACATGCTGCAATCCAATTAATTATTGTGCAAGTAAAGCTATGGGAGATAGATGCTGCAAGCCCAATATTGCTCCCTTCCAGTTCCTAGTGTACCTAACCTGTCACAATGATAACTGTTATTTTAAGTTTACTGATCCAAAAATATCACCAGCAGGATATATGTATCTAGAATGGATAGGACTATCAGTTTACAATTTAACTTCTTCCGTAAAATTCACTCTACAGAAAGCTGTAAAAAAGTCCATGCTGTTCTTACCCTTTTCTTCTTTGGAAGCGTCTCCGGAAGGAATATTATGATGAAGAGAAGGTCCACAACAGAGAATGTAAGAGCAAGCAGGGCAGGCCGGACATAGAATACTTCTCCATCAGCTGCATTTATTGCAAAATAGGCTCCGACCATGGGTCCAACGGTGAAGCCCACTGAGAATGCAACACCAATCATTGCCTGTAACAAGAAGAGGATTACAACTCCTACAATTTAGACTTTATTAACCCAGGGGCATTCATAGCATTCTACACCTGAAGGAACACTTCAATAGGCAGGATGAGAACCAAGAATGTCTTGGTAGCCAAAAGTGGAGTTTGTTGAGGAAAATCAGGTGGACTAAGTGTGGAGTAATGGAAATTGGCATTTTGGTTTTAGCATCTAGTAAGTCAATACTGAGATTTAGTAGGGCATTATTGTGGAGTGTTGTAGGTGAAAGCCAGAGTGTAAGGGGTAAAGAAGGTTGTTTTCAGTGAGGTAGCAGCTCAGACGTTTGTAGACTAGGCGTTCTAGATATTTAGAATTAAATGAAAGCCAGGAGATGGGTCATAAGCGGTTTAGGCTGGTGAGGTCCAGAGAGGGCTTTTTATGTATGAGGGTAACAAGTGGGGGGGGGGGGGGGGGGGGGAGAGGAGGAGGAGAAGCTGCCATTACAGAGAGAGAGATTGAGGATGTAAATTAGAGAGCACAGAATAGAGCAAGAGGGTGATCACAGTAGTCATGAGTGAACAGGTTCCAGGAAAGTTGGGTGTCTGAGAAAGGTTTCATAACCTCCTCTGTAGTAACAGGGTCAAAGAAGTAGTGAATGTGGTGGTAGACATGACATGTTAGATGGGGAATATAGTAGAATTCCCATCACGGATTGCTTCAATCTACGGAATTGACTGGCAATCTCCTGGGCAATGAGAAAGTGCATGTTAATGAGTGTAATGAAATAGGTTTCTTTGGCAGCATACGGGTGAGATTTTGTCATAGATGTGGCCAGTAGCAGAATAGAGAAGAGAAAGGAACCCCTAGAACAGCGGTCACTAAATGGCAGACCACGGTCCACGAACGGCCCCAGCAATCCTGCCACCAGTACCGCCAGCCCGCAATGACAGATCCACCACTGAGCAGGGCAGTCGTCACGGCAACATCACATGTGCGCCCCGCCCCTTTCAGCTCACTGTCTCTCCGGCTTCTGCTCCCTGCCTGTACACAAGAGTCCAGCAAGGATCCCGGCACAGCTCCTGTCTGCCCTCAAGGTAGGGTGTACTCTTACAGCGGAACTCTGATGGACACATTGAATGTTAAGGGGCACTCTGATGGGCACAACATAGAATGTGCCCATCAGAGTGCCCTTAACATAACAAGCGCCGCCCAGAGTGCCCCTAATTTAAATGTGCCCGTCAGAGTGCCCCTTAACCTCCCTGGCGGTAATCCCGAGTGTGGCTCGGGGTTAATTTTCATTGCCAAAAGCGGTAACCCTCCGAGCCACACTCAGGATTACACTGAAGTGTAACCTACCTTGTCCCTGCGATCCCCCGATGTCTTCCCACTGTGTCCTCCGGCCGATGCCAGCATCCGTCTTCCGGGTTCACTTCCCTGTGAGCACAGGGATGCAGAGGGGCGGAAATGGCGGGAGATTCAAAAAAGTAAAAACATGACATGCAAACAATACATTGTAATCTGTTAGTATTACATTACTGTATCAAACCATTTCACCTCAGTTTTGTCCCGAGTGCTTTGTCCTGTGCCCTGCCTGCACTCTTACCGTTCTTTCTGCCTGGAAACTTGAGAACATTCATGCATCCAAAAAGCATCCCTTTAGGTCAAAAAGCAGTTTTAGACCAGCTAGAAAACAGCGATAGTGAATTAGAACCACTTGCAGAATTGAGCGAATAGTGATTCGTGGGGAAATTCGTCATCAGACACTGAAATTTCCATACAAAACAATGTACCGGTTTGACATTCAAAAATATTGACATAATCAGACCGCCAGGAAGGTTAACATAAAATGTGCCCATCAGAGTGCCCCTTAATATAAATGTGCCCAACAGAATGCCCCTTAGCATAAAATGTGCCCATCAGCATGCCCCTTATTTTATTGGGCACTCTGATGGGCACATTTTATGTTAAGGTGTACTCTGACAGGTACAACATAAAATGTGCCCATCAGATTGCCCCTTACAGAAAATGTATCCATCAGAGTGCCCTTTATATTATGTTAACCACATGCCGCCCAGCCACTGTATAAATACGGTGGCAGGGCGGCACGGCTGGGCAAAACCACGTTTTAAAACGTGTGTTTTGTAAACAGGTAGGGGGCACGCGCGAGACGCGCTGCCGACCTACCTGTCCCGCCGATCACAGTCAGAGATGTCAGTCGCCGGGTCACAGACGGTCCTTACCGGCAATTTCCCGGCGATCGGCGGCAATCCCTGACAGAGAGCACAGCTGCAGTAGCTGTGCTTTCTGTCAGTTCCCTGACAGCTCCAGGACAAGCTGATCGGGACAGAAGAGTTTCTCTCTCCCAATCAGCGGTGTCCTGTGCAGTACACACCCCCCGCCCCCTAGTAAAACACTCCCCTCACACAGTTAACCCTTTCCCTGAAAAAAAAAAAAACTTAACCCCTTCCTCCCCAGTGCCATTAGTACAATGTCAGTGTTGTTTTTTTTTTTTTAACTAATCACTGTATTGGTGTCACTGGGGATGTCAGTGACCCCAAGTCAGTACCCCCCCAATGTCAGAATGTCCGCCGCAGTCCCGCCATAAGTCGCTGATCGCCGCCATAAGTCACTGATCGCCGCTATAAGTCGCTGATCGCCGCCATTATTAGTATAAAAAAAAAACTAAAAATCCCAGTATATTTCCCGCCATTTGTAAACGCTATAACTTTCACGCAAACCAATTAATTTACACGTATTGGGTTTTTTTTTAGCAAAGACATGTCGCAGAATGCATTTTGGCAGAAATTTATGACTAAATTAGATTTTTACATTTTTTTTTTACTGGACATGTTTTATAGCAAAAAGTCCAAAATATAGTTTTTTTTTCCTCAAAATTGTCAGCCTTTTTTTTTATAGCGCAAAAAATAAAAACCGCACAGGAGATCAAATACCACCCGAAAGAAAGCTCAATTTGTGGGAAAAATAAGGATGTAAATTTCATTTATGTACCATATTGCATGACCGCGCAATTGTCCATTAAACTAGCGCAGCGCTGTATAGCAAAAAAATGTCGTAAATTGCAGTATCTATACCATAGTTTGTAGACGCTATAACTTCACACAAAGCAATCAATATACACTTATTGGGATTTTTTTTTACCAAAAACATGTAGCAGAATACATTTTGGCCTAAATTTATAACCAACTTTGAGTTTACTATATATTTTTTATAGCTAAAAGTAAAAAATATTGTTTTTCTTGTTATTGCTGCACCCAAATTTCGTTTGGGTACAGCATTGCATGACCGCGCAATTATCAGTTGAATTAGTGCAGCGCCAAGTAGCAAAAAGAGGCCTGGTCATTAAGGGGAATAAATCCTCTGGAGGTCAAGTGGTTAAGGGGCACTTTGACGGCCACATTTTATGTTCAGGGGCACTCTGATGGAAAGGGGCACTCTGATGGGGAATATGATGTAAAGGGGCACTCTGATGGGAAAATTTTACAGAAAGGGGTACTTTGAGTGTAAGGGGGCACTCTGACGGGAATACCCAATGTAAGGTTACAATGTGATGGGGATACATGGTGTAAAGGAGAACTATGATGGGCACACCTAAAGGGGAATACATGATGTAAAGTTGCACCATGATGGCACCTAATGGTGCACATGCTATTCAGACCTTGGCCAGAAGAGGTACCCCTTGGCAGGGGTATTGAATTAAAAATCCTTGAATTTTAATTCAATACCCCTGCCCTAGAACCTGTTCACTCACGACTACAGTGATCACCCTTTTGGTCTATTCTGTGTCCTCTAATTTACATCCTCAATCTCTCCCGATTGAGGCACCTTCTCCTTCCCTCCCCACTCATCACCCCCATACTTAAAAAGCCCTCGCTGGACCTCACCACCAGCCTGAACAACTTAGGACTCATCTCCTAGCTCTCAGTAGTGAAGGTTTCAACAAAGTCATAGTTTGCTGCTTGGAGAAAAGAGCAGTTGAAGACAAGGATACCATGAAACTGAAAAAGTTGTGATCAGAGAGAGGAACTTGGGTGTTGGGAAGGATGCAAGGAGTGCAGAAGTGGGAGAATACATGGTTAAGAGTGTTACTATCAAAGTGAGAAGAAGTGTGTGTCATTTGTGCTAGGTCAAAAGATGAGGAAAAAAGCTGGCAACAGACAGTTTGCAGCTTGGCCGGTTTAGCAGGAATTGTCTGAGATTTGGCCAGGCTGATTTTACCCAAATCGATACATTGATTGACTTGGGATCAACCAGCATGTCAGATTTTTCATGCAATTATTGCCAGCAGCTATATCCGCTAGCAATAATCACAGCTCCACAGGGGGACTGATGGGGGAAATCAAGCAAGAAAGAAAGTTGCACCATCTATGGCTGACCTAAGTTGAGAAGTTCAGAACCAGGGCTGGTAACATGAAATGCTCAAGTCACCAAGAATAGAAAATGAAGCATGACACTGATCCAGGAGGCCCTCAGTTTGGACAGAAAGAATCTAACTCCATTTATCTCTTGGCCACTATAACAGAGGGCAGAGCGAAGCGCAGAGTCAGATTCCTAAAACCAGATTTCAGTAATGGCAAGTAGGTTAACCCGTTGGCGCCAGAACCTTCTGGCCCTTGAAGGAGTTTGTGATGCCGGGATTTAGGGTCACATGACCGCCGTGATCAGCTGTCACAGCGGTCATACGATCGGAAAAGTCCTGATCGCAAGTAACGATCGGGACCTTTCCGTGAGGTGCCGTTAAATGTGCCAGGAGCAAGCAGGGTGCGTGCTCCTGGCACGTTTGTTTACTTTTGGTATATGCGGCCGCTCGAAGGCAAGGCCCAGCTACCGAGAGGCTGCACATTTGCATACAGTCAGTGCCAACAAGTTAAAGTTGGAGATATTAATATTATAGACAGAAGTGAGCTTGTTACAGAAAGAGAGGGTATTGCAGAGGGCACAGAAGAGAGAGGGTCTGGTTCTTGGAAGCAGTAGGATGCATTTAGCATGAGAGAGCTGCGTCTGTTGCCAGAGGAGGAAGGGTGCGGGGAGTGAAGGTGACAGATAGCGGTGTTTCATTATTAGGAGAGATATTCCCAGAAGTTATCAGAAGCAGGAGGGTGAGGGAAGTAAGATGTGAGCTAGATTTATATCAGCACATTGTCTTGGTGTGTATATCAGCATGTGGGTTCAGTGTTCACAAGGAGTGGTGAGTGCAGTAACCTGGGCAAGGTTGGGTGGGGCAACTGGTGGAGAGCACGTCCTTTTGGCTAAGATCAAGTGTAGTATCTGTTCTTATCAGTGTCCAGTGGGGGTGCTCCCGACCATTCTAGCTTTGCGGGGATGGTTGTTGTATAGTACCCTCACTGGTATGATGGGGGTCCGGAAGGCTAGTACCGGAGGGACAGAAACCAGGGAGCGCCATGATTCGTTCTGGGGCTTGGGAGTAATTCCTCTGGGAAGACTGGAAAAGACCCAGTACCTCCTGATCTGAACATGCTGCCTTGGTCTGGCCAGGGGCTGGGGAGGCAAAAAGTCCGCAAACTCAGTGCCCCCTGAGGAGACCGCTCAGGGGTGTCACTTATAACACTTGGGTGTGGGACCCCACGGTGTGAAGATGACATTGGCCACTGTTTTTACACCTCTTTTTGCACAGCGCCCTAAGGACCAGGCCTTTTGGCTAAGTCCAGGGCAATTTTTGCTACGGGCCTCAGGGCCTGGTCTGTGCACATTTCGGCACGGTACCTTTTTTATTATTTTTTCTTACTTTTCTTATTTATTTATTTATTATCATCCCACGTTTGTCACTTTTTCTTTGCCTTATGTGTGTGTTTTCAAGGATGGAGGGTGTGGGTCCTCGGGCCTACCCTGAAGTCTAGGGGGAGGATGTGTGGCCATACGGTTCCTCCTCCCCTGATCCCTAGAGGACTCTTCTTCGGGAGAGTCCCCTTGCCTAGTACTGAATGTCCGGCTTGGCTTGGCATAGGGAACGGTGGTCCACCAGGCCTTTTGGCCAGGAGGACCAAGTGGGAACCTAGTTCCCCGTCAGGAGCTTCGTGCCCCGGGGGATCAGGGACAGCGGTCCAAGCCCCTTTAGGGGTAGGACACAGCACACCCCTAAGTGCACGTTTTTCGTGTGGTGTTTTGCACTTGCACTTTTTTGCGGACACTTACGGGTTTTTTTCGATATAGTTGCACGTTTGCGGACTTAAAAAAAAAAAAAAAAAAAAAACTGGTGGAGAGCACGTTTTGTGACCGGCTAGTAGGTCCGGACTCGAGATTTTAACCCCTGCAGTAGTATATGCTGTCGACCAGTGTAACATAGACATTAGGTGAAAACTGCCATTTATTGTCTATGGGCTCCCTGACTACCTGTGCCAGGCATATGTCATGACATTTTTATAGAATATAACAAAGCATAAAGATTGTACAAGACAAAGACTAGATCATCCGGCATCCCCCATTTGTCATAACAGAACACAGTCCACACTTACCATGCCCTTGCTACGGTCCTTTAAGGAGGGGAGGTCAGCTATTACAGCCGCACATAAGCTAACATTTCCTTTACTTAATCCTCCAACCATGCGAGAGATAAGGAAGACTCCAAAACTTCTTGACATGGCCCATATAGCATAGGACTTCGATTATGCCAAACTGTCAGAAATGGGGACATTAAAGAGTAACATAATCAGTTTTTGGCCTCTCCAGTAATCAGACTGAAAAAAAAAACAGACATTGGGAATATTCTAAATGTTTTAGGCAATGACTTCCACCTACCACCTTCTGTCCTATTAAGAGACACAATATTTAGGAATATATTTACTTAAAAAGGGTTACTCTGATGAAAACTATAATTCTATCAATTTATAAAACTTTGGTTCGGTCACACCTTGAGTATGCCATAGTTTTGGCTGCAAATGTACAAGAAAGAGAAGTGCTAGAACTGCAGAGAGTCCAGAGAAGGCCAAGAAAGCCAATAAGGGGGGCTGGAGGACCTCAGTTATAAGGAGTGACTACAAACAAACGTATTCTTCCTGGAGAAGTGGCGCTAAAGAGGGGATATGAACGCAATGCACAAATCTTTTAATGGTAACTGTATCTTTGGGAGAAAATTATTTAATCTTAGGTCTCGAATGGAGAAATGGTGAAAAAATGAAGCTGGATAAGAAGCAGTTCAATCTTAAACTACTTGGGGTTCTTTACTGTTAGAACGGTAAGGATGTGGAATTCCATTCAATACTTGATGGTGTCAGTGGGAAGCATAGGCAATTTAAAAATTCTTTTAAATGCGTTTCTTAGCAAACACAATGTGCATGGATATTGGAAATGGTAGTAATATACACAATTAATATGCACACATGATATACAGGTTGAACTGGATGTTCCAGTTTTATTATTACAAACGTGGTCCTACAATACATGCCTTCAAGTCACTGCTTGGAGAGTGTACAGGACAGAGGCCTCTCCTATTTTATATATGAATACATATACAATACATACTTGAATATATTTTTTTGTTTTTAAAACCAAAGTTAGTGTCATTTTAAATACTTCTGTTCTGTAGTGGTAGTTTCCTGCTGAGGAATGCTACTGAATATTCTTCTCCAAGTTTCCTGGGACAAGACTGCTCCCAGGCCAACATCAGATGCATCTGTCAGTATGAGATATGACACCTAGTTGGTCCCACAAGCCCATCCATCTGATTACAATGTAATAAGAAACATGTATTTTCTTAAAAAAAAAAAAAAAAAAAAAAAAAAAGGTATTCATGTTTTTCCTCTATTTTCCAAAAGCTTGTATGACATATTTCCCAGCATGCTGGAAGATTGGTGACAACATTGATAACATACTTAAAGATAGTCTCTTAGGACAAAAATAGGGACTTTTCAGCCTTATTATTGCTTTACTACCTAAAGTGGAACTAAAACCTTCTCTCCTTTACAGACAAGGAAGTTGCCTTCTTAGCCTTTGTTTAATCTGCAGTTGCCACAGTGTTGTACATATGATGAGTTATGACACCAGCCACTTCAAGGCTTGACAGTTTAGTTGAGAGCAGAAACAACTGTGACGGGTATCGATCACAGCATGCCTTCAATGAAACCATTAAATTGATGTGTTTAGTTCTGCTTCTAAAGGCTATGTATGTACATGTATGTTTGAAATGCTGCCTATGGATGTTTCATATTTACACTTATCGGATCGCGCTTTGTGCGTGCCCGCAGGGCCGCGCTGTGGCGAGATGCGTCACCGGCTGTGTATCTCAGGACACGGCTGATGACAGATCTGTGTACTGGCCCTGTTGCCATTACTATGGGGCCTGCTGTCACATGACAGTTGTATACAATGGATGGCTTCCTTTCATGCCATCTCTTGTATACAAGTGTGTCTAGATGTGAATGGTCACAGTGATCACATGCACAGGCTGGGCCAGTCACAGCCCATCTGTGTCCTGTGATTAGCCGTGGTTAATCACATCAAAAAAAGCTGAATGAATCGATTTCAGTTAAATGCTTGCTTACAAAAAACAAAATACTGATGACTTCCCCAAAGTAGTACAACTTTCCTACAGGCCAAGTAATAAACACTGATTTGGGTTATTTTCACCAAAGAAATGTAGCAGAATACATCTTGGCCTAAACTTATGAAGAACAATTATTTATTTGCAGACTTTTATAACAGAAACAAAGAAAAGTGTTTTTTTTTTTCCAAACATTTCTGTCTTTTTTGTTAATTTATCAAAAAATACAAACCCCAGTGGCGATTAAATACCACCAAAAGAAAGCTCTAGTTGTGGGAAGAAAATTATAAAATTTTAATTTGGGTACAGTGTTGTATGACCGCGCAATTGTCATTCAAAGCGTGAGAGTGCTGAAACCTGAAAACTGGCCTGGGCAGGAAGGGGGTAAAAGTGCCCGGTATGGAAGTGGTAAATGATAAAGGTGGTCTAATGATTTCCAACCAACAACTCCTGGTTCTGTTCAGTTGCTGGCAACAGACAGCAGCCACTGTGGCAACTCAAGTGGAAAAAGTAAAACAAGGGATAGAAGTAGGTGGGGTTAGTCATCACTGGTTTTGTCTGAACATAGATTCCACCCATCTACAACAGCCTTGTGTCCCATTGATATAGTTGTGCTGAAGTGCTGGTGCTTAAACAGAGCTCAAAGCTACGGATATACAGTTGTGCTCTAAAGTTTGCATGAAATCGTGACATTTTGCCATTTATATTGAAAATTTGACTGATCATGCCAGAACACTGTCTTATTTTAAGGATAGTAATCACATGAAGCCATTTATTATCACATTGTTGTTTGGCTCCTTTTTAAATCCTAATGATAGCAGAAATCAAATAGCCCTGATCAAACTTACATACCCTGGAATGGTTGGCCTTGGTACAGACGTATAAGGTGACACACACAGGTTAAAATGGCAATTAAAGGTTAATTTCTCACATCTGTGACTTTTTAAATTGCAATTAGTGTCTGTTTATAAATAGTCAGTGAGTCTGTTAACTCTCACATGGATGCACTGAGCAGGCTAGATACTGAACCATGAGGAGCAGAAAAAGGACTGTCAAAAGACCTGCGTAACAAGGTAATGGAACGTTATAAATATGGAAAAGGATATAAAATAAGAGATCCAAAGCCTTGAATATGTCATTCCATACAGTTCAATCACCTAATAAATTACAATATGCCAAAACAACACCTTGACGCACTTCATCAGGCTTTTTGTGGTATTGGTGCAGCAAAGGCTTCTGACAAATCAATCATGCAGCTCATTTTTGTTCAAGTATCATCGTACTATGCTCCTTCAAACAACCACACTTTCTTTTTTCAGAGCAGCCTGTACTTCTCCTAGGGTTACCTGTGTGTTTTTCTTTGTATCCTGAACAATTCTTCTGGCAGTTTTGGCTGCAATTTTTCTTGGTCTACCTGACCTTGACTTGGTATCGAGTAGGGTTGCGCTGATGCGAAGCATTAGCATGAGTACTCGGATTTCAACAGATCACCTAATTTTCCACTTCCTAATAACTGATTGAACAGTACTGACTGGAATATTCAAGGCTTTGGATATCTTTTTATATCTCTTTCCATCTTTATAAAGTCCCATAACCTTGTTATGCAGGTCTTCTGACAGTTCTTTTCTGTTCCCCATAGCTCAGTATCTAGCCTGCTCAGTGCATCCGCGTGAGAGCTAACAGATTCACTGACTATTTATACACAGGCACTAATTGCAATTTAAAATGCCACAGATGTAGGAAATTAAACTTTAATTGCGATTTTAACCTGTGTGTCACCTTGTGTGTCTGTATGTCTGCCAAACATTCCAGGGTATGTAAACGTTTGATCAAGGCCATTTGGGTGATTTCTGTTATCAGTAGGATTTAAAAAGGAGCCAAACAACTGTGTGATACTAGGCTTCATGATCACTACCCTTAAATGAAAGACTTTGTTTTGGCATGATTGGTCATATTTTCAATATAAATGCCAAAATGTCACAATTTCTGCCAGGGTATGCAAACTTTTGAGCACAACTGTAAAACTAATACAGCAAATAATTTATTTAGAAAATTCTGCTCTAAATACCAGCTATAAAGCACACAATATTGCAGGCAGCATACAGTTATAACATACTGAATTTATTATTATGACTCGCCGTCTTCCAAGATAATCCGAAGCTGCTCCAGTGAGCGGTGAGCAGATAAACTGCAGGAGGGAGAAGAGGGAGCCAATGAGACCTGAAAAACACTCATTATTACATCGCAGAAACAACACATCCTAGCATCTAAATGTGAGACTTAATAAGGTGAACCTGTCCTGGCCTAAGAGTGCCTAAACAGCAACAAGTAGGCTGAAATACAAGTGCCTTCAGCTTGTTCTCTGTATCAACCCTTCAGTGCCAGATTACCAAATAGGCCAAGTAGGCACTGGCCTATGGGCTCCAAGCCATTTGAGTGTCCCACGACAAAGGATCAAAATAATATTGCTTTGATGTTGAAAGAAAATTACAATGAAAATGTTTTAAATTGTTTACAAAAGATAGAAAAAAATTCACTCAAAGAAATGAAAACTGTACATTAAAGCCTCTATAGAGAATACTGTATTAATAATAATAATGTACCCAATAAAAACTTAAAGTACATAAACCATAGACATCAGATTCACATTATAGCTCGTCTCTTAAAAGCTCATCTTCTTTCAGCTGTCAGTTTGTAAAAAATTTGGTTCAGCCTACATACATGTAGTATACAGTATCAACGTGCCCACTACTCAATGTTATCCCAGTAGAGCAGGGGTCTCCAAACTTTCTGAACAAAGGGCCAGTTTACTGTCCTTCAGACTTTAGGGGGCCGGACTGTGGCCATTGGGAGTAGAAAATGTCTTGGCATCAGTGGGAGTAAACAATGCATCTTTGATATTAGGTGGAGGAATAGCGCTCTATTGTAGGTGTCCATGGGAGAAATAGTGCCCCATCGTTGGTGTCATTAGAAGAAATAGTGCCCCGTTGTTTGTGTTAGTAGGAGAAATAGCGCCCTTTTGTTGGTGTCAATGGGAGGAAAAAAAGTGCCCTATTGTTGGTGTCAGTATGCAGAATAGTGCCCTATTGTTGGTGTGTGTCAGTAGGCGGAATAGTGTTTCACTCGGTGTCAGTGGAAGGAATAGACCCCTATGGTTAGAGTCAGCGGGAGGAATCATGCCCCATTGTCAGTGGGAAGAATAGTGCATCATGTTTGGTGTCAGTGGGAGGATTAGTGCCTCATGGTTGGTGTCAGTGGAAGGAATAGTGCTCCATCATTGGTGTCAGTCAGAGGAATCGTGCCCCATAGTTGGTGTCAGTGGAAGATAATAATGCCTGTTGTTGATGTCAGTAGCAGAAATTATTCCCCATTGTCAGTTGTTGATGTCAGTAGCAGGATTATGCCCCATCATTGACGTCATATAGTTGGTGTCAGTGGAAGATAATAATGCCTGTTGTTGATGTCAGTAGCAGAAATTATTCCCCATTGTTGGTGTCAGTGGAAAGATAAACTTCTGTTGTTGATGTCAGTAGCAGGAATTATGCCCCATCATTGACGTCAGTGGGAGGAATTGTGCCCCGTTGTTGGTTTCAGTGGGAGGAATAAAGCCTCATGGTTGGTGTCAGTGGAAGGAATAGCGATCCATCATTGGTGTCAGTGGGAGGAATCGTGCCCGTTGTTGCCAGTAGCAGGAATTATGCCCCATTGTTGGTGTCAGTGGGAGGATTAGTATCTTTTATCAGGGGAGGAAAAGTGCCCCAAAGGCCGGATAAAGGCAAGCAAAGGGCCACATCCGCCTCCTGGGCCATAGTTTGGAGACTACTGCACTAGAGCATGCGCAAAAGACATCTCCATAAACACTTCAAGGGTGGCCCTTCCACAGAGTTTAATCCAGCACTGCAACCCTTAGATCATAAACCCTATTCTCCATGAGGCTGTGCCTTCTGAAAAAGTCAGGAACAAAACCTGTCCTCCCTGTGCCAAGTGTGCTTTAGAAGCTGCGGCATTGAACTGTCGAACAAACAAGGTGCGGCATAATTTTAGAAGTTTTGGCACTGTATACATCCTGAACTCTAGGATCAAAGGGGCTCCCCAGAGACATTGGGATCAATATGAAGACTAAAGTGGACTACATGGAATACAATCTGATTTTATCATTTTCATGTAAAGATCCACAGGAACAATACATTCAATTTGTATCTGGTCAGGTAGGCCATCACACTGCATAGTTGTTGGTAAATCTAAAAGGAGGCTGTGCAATCAGATTGTAACATATGTGGTCAGCTGCTCAAGGGCACCACAAAGTACATATGTTTCATCATATTGTTAGGCATTTTGTAGGCCAGTTCACATTCACTCTCATAGACCTATGAAAGTCTAACCAACCAAAGAGAAGAAAGGAATACTGCAAACAGTAAAGCGACCTGTCTCCCAAAACAAATATTAAAAGCACTGTCACTGTAAACAGCATTGCTGTAGTGACTTGGAAGGTCAACATGAGGAGCCAGGAAGAGCTGCGGGGGGACCCAGGGAGACACTCTTCGAAGTATCAGTTGATCACAATCTACCCATTGATTGCAACTGACCCCGTCATGCTGCCAGCTCCTGCGCATGTCCTTGACAACTTTAGGGAACTAACTCTACTGAATGAGTTTAGTGCCATGGGCACATAAGTGACTCAGGCATGGAAAGTAAGTTTCTTTTACTAACAATTTCAATGTTTATTTTTCATAACAGGGTCGCCTTAAAGCGGAGTTCCACTCACACTGTAAAAAAATAAAAGTTAGCAGCTACAAAAACTGTAGCTGATGACTTTCAAAAAACAGCCACTTACCTGTCCCACGATCCCACAGTGTCCTCCCCGCAGCCCGTTTCACTAGCCGTCCTGAGTTCCAGGCGCCGGCATCTTCAGTGTGACAGCTTGCGGCTTCACAGCCGGGTGCCCACTGCGCATGCACGAGTAGTCCTGCACTTGCCGAATGGCCCCTTAGTCTTCAGACCTGTCACGTGTCCCAAAAGACTACGGCGAGGGAGGGTGGGAGGACAACTTCCGCTTCCGATCGCCTAGGAAATCACAGCGGAAGTGGGAGCAGGTACCTGTCAATTTCGGGTACCCGCTCCCCAAAGGTGCCAATCATTAAATGAGGGAGCAGGGGACCAGTCTTTAAAGTGGAATTTCCCCTTTTGGGTGGAACTCCGCTTTAAGGTATGATATGTGAAAAGCAACAGGTGGCAGCATTAAACCCACAGATGTATCCATCCCGCACATATAACTCTCACCTCGCTATGGCCTTATAGAAAACTTTTATTTTCCCCAACCCATGACCAAAGAACTTCATGGTTCTGAGCTGCTCCATTTTCCTAGTTATAGCTCTGCTCCTTGAACTGCCTCAGCCGGCTATGAGGTGCGACTATACACATGCAATGATATGGACAGACTGAGTAAGTCAGTTCTACTATCATTACTGTTAACAATCCCGACTGCTATATGCCCCTTAATACAGTGTGGGCAGACTACTGTTAGAGGCGTAAGGCAGTCCCAAACTTCTCTCCTGACACCTGGAACCTCAGTGACCCTTCACAGAACTATAGATTATTCATATTAATATTTCATAACTTACCACCAAAGAGAACACTGTTATACTTCCTCTCCTGAGGAATTCCCACAGCGCCTGCAAACCAGCCTACGGTGCCCTGCAGTGTCTGGTACATGCTATCCTAGGATGACAGAAAAAGGAAAGACATTTTTTAATTTTAAAGTACGTCTAAGGCTCCATTCACACTTTGCGATTTAGAACCGTGGGCAAAATTGCTGCAATTTTGCCCGCGATTCCAAATCGCTTGGCAATTGCTGCACAACACGCAATTCACTTTTGGATGCCATTATCCTTTAATGGCACCCCAAATGCAAAGCAATTCTGCTCCAGTTGTCATGCAGCATTACGTGCTTTTAATAATTCTGTGAAACTTGTTGGCCAAAAAGGAGCAGGAGCGTTGAAAGAATGAGCTGGCCTTGGGTGTTACACAGAATCACGTAGCGGGAATGCTCATTCCGACTACACAACATGTCAACCGGACCAAAAGGCAAACCTTTTTTTCATTTTGGATACAGTAGGGAAGATTTTTTGCCATCTGGGCCTTATTAGGTAGATTTCTCTTTACTTTCTGTTCTGTACACCCAATAGGAAGTGAAAGGATATCTTTCCAATGTGGGGAAAAGCCCTTCTTAGTTGCCGCGGGAATAATTGCCCCATTGAAAGATTTTCCCTCTATCCCTGTTCTAGAAGCAACTCAAAATTTTGGATTTAGCCCTCACTTTTATTCCCGGTAGCCCTGGTCATCAGGACTATAAAAGACAATGTAGTAATCCTCCTCCGTCCTGTAATTGGCTGCCATACTAGACACATGATTGGAAGCTAGTCCCACCAGCTACCATTCATTAGTAGAGACCAAGAGCTGTCCTTGACAGCTCAGTCACTGTGCAGGGAGCATGCAATGACTGTACGCTCAGCACTGAAAGCTCTTCTGCCCTTGGATGCATATGTGCAGTGTGTGGACGTTAAAGCCCACCCTCACATATGCGTTACGTTGGCCCAAAAGGTTAAGTAGGCCTTGACACTACACATTTTTGGAAAATTGAATGCAGATTGTACAATTAGATTGTGACATTTATGGGCAGCTTTAGGGTTTGTGTACAAAGGAATCAATCAGAAGAAGGTAATACACACCAATAGGTGTGCTTGGTAAAAACTGGAGCTTATTTAACCACTTGCCTACCAGGCACTTATACCCCCTTCCTTACCAGGCCAATTTTCAGCTTTCAGCGCTGCCGCACTTTGATTGACAATTGCGCGGTCATGCAACATTGTACCCATATGAAATTTTGATCATTTTTTTCTCACAAATAGAGCTTTCTTTTGGTGGTATTTAATCGCCACTGGGCACTTTACTTTTTGCGCTATAAATTAAAAAAAAGTGCAAAAAATTTGAAAAAAAAAAAAAAAGTTTGTTTCTTTTATAAAATTTTTCAAACAGGTATTTTTTCTCCTTCACTGATTTGCGTTGATGAGGCGGCACTGATGGGCACTGATAGGCGGCACTGATGGGCACTGATAGGCGGCACTAAAGGGCACTGATAGGCAGTACTAATGAGGTGGCACGGATAGGCGGCACTGATAGACAGCACTAATTAGGGGTCACGGATAGGCGGCACTGATATGCAGCACTGATAGGCGGCACTGATAGGTGACACTGATGATGGGTACTGATAGACGGCACTGACTGGCATCACTTCTGGGCACTGACTGGCGGCACTGACTGGCACAACCCCTGGGCACTGACTGGCAGCACTGCTGGGCTGCACTGGTGGGCAGCACTGGTGGTGGGCACAGGTGGGTGGCACTGGTGGGCACAGGTGGGTGGCACTGGTGGGTGGGCACAGGTGGGTGGCACTGCTGGGCACATGTAGGTGGCACTGCTGGGCACAGGTAGGTGGCACTGCAGAGTGGCAATGTAGGTGGCACTTCTGGGCACAGGTAGGTGGCACTGCAGAGTGGCACAGGTGGGGGCACTGCTGGGAACGGGTGGGCGGGGCTAGTGGGCGCACTGCTGGGCGGAACTTGCGGGTGTCACTGCTGGGCACCGATCATCAGGGCACTGATCATCAGTGCCCTGATGATCGGTGCCGATCCCCGCTCTGACAACTGCCGGTTCTCGGCAGTACTTTCCTCACGATCTGACAGCGTGAGGAAAGTGCAGCCGAGAACCGGCACTTGCATTTCCCTGTGATCAGCGTGTCATTGGACACCGCTGATCACGTGGTAAAAGGCCGGTGGGATCGGCCTTTCACCACATCACGTGATCAGCTGTGTCCGTAGGACACAGCGATCACGGAGATCGCCGGGTGCGCGCCCCCTGGGGCGCGCAGGAGAGCGCGTTCTGGGAGGACGTCATATGACGTCCACTCAGAACTGGCCGGCCGCGGTGAAGCCGTCATTCGGCTATGCGCGGTCGGCAAGAAGTTAAAGTCCATTTGTAAAGCTCTTGCTATACATTCATGATGTACTTAAGCAGCTACTTATAAATATAAACCCTGTATATCAAATGTATTTGATTGTACATTATTAGAAATGATTAATATAGCACTGCATTTGTGCAGCACTAGTGAGACACTACAGTTAAAAACAATTCAATACAAGAGGGTTAGGAGGACCCTGCTCATGAGAGCTTACAATCTAAAAGGGGCGGACTGACAACTCATGGGGCCCCCGGGCAATAGGGGATCATGGGGCCTGGTCCTTGCCCAAACTCAAAAAAGCCTATGAAAAAGGTACCAGAGGCATCTCATGGGGCCCCCTACTGACCCCGGGCCCTCGGACAGTGCCGAGTTTCCAAATGGTCGGTCCGTCCCTGGAGGGGTTAGTAATATAAAAGGTAATAGCTGTGAGGGGATGAGTTGATGAAGGAAGTAAAATTTCAGTTTTTAGGTGGAGGCAGGATAGGCTTCCCTGTAGAGACGAGTATTCAAGGATCTCCTTAAGGGCCGGTTCACACTATTCCAGTGCAGGAAAACGCATGTGAATCGAACAGGAATCGCACCGCATTCCTGTTCAAATCACATGCGATTTTTTGCAGTGCAATTTGAGCCCATTCATTTTGTACTGCTCAAATCGCACAATGCACCCGCAGGAGAGGTGCAGGATCCTTTTTTTTCTGAGCTGTATTCGGTTCGCATGGGTGTTAACACCCTGTGATACCATTGACCAATTGCACTGCAATCCTTTTTGAGGTGTTGTTAACTTAACATGGGCACCCGCAGCAGTTCACATGAACGGAGTGCGATTCTGATACCGGTAACACAAAATTTGCTGCGACCCGCACTATTATGTGAATTGGAACGAAGTAAACACAAAAAAAAAGAAACAAACATTGCTGCTGAATCGGTTCGCATGGGTGTTAACACTGATACATTACCAATTGTGAATTGGAACTGAACACAGTAAAACATAAAAAAAAACACACAAAATTTGCAATCCCGCAAAAATTGGAACGTATGATCTGACGGGCTTTTTAATCACAGAAGAAACATGAAATGTCTCTTATGCAATAACATACATCTACCTGTCTGCATGCAGTCTTCTGTGGCATGTAAACTGCTCAGCTAACATCGTTGCCACGGTCCCTGTGTGCAGGGACTACTGACTTCTCCGCAATGAAGATGGCTGAAGATTGGCGTCTGGAACGATCTGGGAAGAAGATGCTAGTGCGGGACCACTTGTGAACTTCGGTTCTCTGGAGAGGCAAGTATGACGACTTTAGTTCCACTTTTAAGTAGATAAGAGTAGGAGATAGCTGGACAGACTGGGGTGGGCAGTTTCAAACGAAGGGAGAGGTCCTAATAATGTAGTTCAGGGAAAAGTTCACCTCAAACACGTGTCAAAAGCATTGCAAGGGCGTGCTGTACTTGTCATTTACACTGCATTTCATTGATGCCTATACATGAGAACCATAGCCGGGACACGACTGTACAAGAGAAACTGCATCCAGGAACAAAGCAAGCAGCAGAGTTCACAGGAAATAACTGAAAACATCTATTTATCTATCAATCTATACTGCCCTGTAGAACTAAAATCAAATTTCATCCTCTGTGCTTGACACCTTGAAATGCAGATCCCAGGTACACAAACCCTTAGTGTGTCATTTCACTACTTACATTAGACTTGCTGAAGTGATCCAGTATAGAAGGCATCAAGGGTAAAATGAGAGTAAATCCCAGAAGGTCGATGAGCAGAGCCACGAAGATTACAGTGATGACTCTGGTAGACCCTTGATCTTCCCCTTTGGGGGGCTTCACTGCTCTGTCGCTCATCACTCCGGCTCAGGTGAGCTCCTCCAGCCAAGTCCTGTAAATACAAGCAGACGGCACTCCTGAGTACTTGGCTTCCGATGTGTACACCTCCCACTCCAGGGACACAATAGTGCTGACTCACTGCAGGGACTCTACAGGTGAAATTCACATTAGGAAACTATCTGCTGTTCAGGGACCACACACTTTATGGGCTGTTTTGTAATACCCAGAGATTGTTACAGTATCCCAGGCAGGATGCAGTGGTTGAAACAAAATGTGATCTGATCAGGAAGTTCTACCCATGGGAGGAAGATAAGCATTACATAAACTTCACTAATTCAAACTGTAAAACTTCACTTTTTTTCTACATCCTGACTAATATGACGCCATCCTTGTCTCTAAAAAACAGAAAAGTTGATTATTAAAAGCAATGCAAAGAGCCATGATGATGTGCAAGGTGCAGTAACCCAAATCAAGGCCCCATTTATACCTGATCATTTTGTAACTGCGCACAAATTCGTGCGTCGTGCATTCTTTGTTAACCTCCCTAGCGGTCTGATTACGTCAGTATTTCTGTGCTCAAAGCGGAACTTTTTTGCATGGAAATATGTTGTTTTTTTTTATTGTAGGCCTGTAATTCTTAGGAATAACTCACTGAAATCTGTCCGAACAAGAGTAGTAAACATTCCGGATATGATAAAACTTGAAACACGAAATCATAAATTATAATATAATAATTATAAAAATAATAATATAATAATAAAAATTTAATTCAATAATGTAATCAAACCAAAAACACTAAAATTTGAAATATAGCGCCAAGTTCGCACATCGCTGAGCAAAGTCGCAAAATCGTTTTCAGTGTCTGATGACGAATTTCCCCACGAATCATTATCACTCAATTCTGCAAGTGGTTCTAGCTTACTATCGCTGTTCTCTAGCTGGTCTAAAACTGCTTTTTACGTATGGGGCGCTTTTTGGACGCCATGACATTTCTCAGTTTCCAGGCAGAAAGAACAGTAAAAATGCAGGCAGGGCACAGGACAAAGCACTCGGGACAAAATGCATGTGAAATGGTTTGATACAGTAATGCTTATACTGTGTGATTTTAGTGTATTGAGTGAATGTCACATTTTTTTATTTCCCACCGTTCCGTCCCCGTACATCCTGACGCTCGCAGGGAACGGAACCCAGAAGACAGATGCCGGCATCGGCCGGAGGAGATGGCCAGGGACGCTGCAGGGGGGACATCACGGGAGCGAAGGTCAAGGTAAGTGTTGGAGGGAATCCCTGAGAAACGCTGCAGGGTGGTCCTGAGTGTAGCTCAGGGTTACCGCTTTTGGTACTGAAAGTTAACCCCGAGCTACACTCTGTAATACCGCCAAGGGGGTTAATGGAACCCCAAACAAGGCAAACAGATGCACATTTTTCTGGAAAAACATGCAACAACCGTGTCAATATGCACAATTACAAAATGTGTGAAGCTCAATGTGCAAAAAGCTACATGTGCTACTTTGACATGCGTAGAACAGCCCATGGAAATAAACGGGCTTCCCTATTCTCATGATTTTGATACATAAATTACCAAAGAAATACTCAATAAAACAAGTTATGAAACACCAGCAATTTCCTGGGAACAGAAGTGCCTGCTCTTTACAATAGACCATTTCAAACAAAAGACATTCAGGATGGTTGACTGAATATAGATGACCTATTTAGGAATACAATGAAGTCACACAGCCCTGATCTGACAACTACCTGGCTAGTGTTGACCAAAAGTCAGAAATGTTCATTGTGAAAACACAGCATCTGGATACCTGAAGTTTGTGAAATATAACAAGTAAAGCTGTAAATGGATGTTACATTTGTTCATTCAGGAAAGGATATTAGCCTATGTCGTGAGCCTTGACACCCATTATTAACAGAGTCATATCTCTGCTGGGAGATCAACTGAATGTTTACCAATGAGCACACAGACAATAGCCCTAGATACCCATACACTCCTTGGGTGCTTACAGAGACTGTGAAACTATGAAAGTCACCTCACGGGAACCAAAGGCTTAACCTCAGCAAAATACTCAGCTGACATATTCATACTATACAGGGGCAGACTGACCATTTGGAAACTTGGGCACTACCCGAGGGCCCGGGGTCAGTAGGGGGTCCCATGAGATGCCCCTGGTACCTTTTTCATAGGCTTTTTTGAGTTTGGGCAAGGACACAGGGGCCCCATGATCCCCTATTGCCCGGGGGCCCCATGATCCCCTATTGCCCGGGGACCCCATGAGTTGTCAGTCCGCCCCTGATACTATATATATTATGACCACAGGAATCAATTTAATACATTTTGTAAATACAAAAGCATAAAAAGAATTAACCAAATATCAACAAGTTGTCATGATATATGATATGGATTGTGATTTGGGTAGACTGTTTGACAGATATTAAAACAAATGACTTACCAACAATATGTACCTACATCAGAGTGTGGAGAGATACGAGACATGTGATATGATGGACTGAAATAACGCATGAGCATCATCCGATAAATTATGGAATTATTCTCTTAATATCTACCTTTTTTAGAATATTTGACAACCATAAAAATATCATTCTCATCTAATAAGGATAGTCCACATACTTGAACCAACTCCAACAAATGGACATTATCGAAAGGGATATCGATGAGAGCCACTTTAATATTTCATCAAGACATATTTTATCCATAAGATCATCTATAAAACTGGGAGATTACTCATAACCAAGTGATTTACATTTTCATTCATGGAACATGACTGCCTCTAGTGGACAGGTAAAGAACATCCAGAGTTCTTGGCTGTCCAATCGTCATGTACCATGGGTGGATCCAGCAGACAATGGATCTTCAAAGTATATATATATGCAAGAAAAGAGAAAGGAAAAAAAAACACT